TCTTCATGGGTTACTAGTTTTATCAGCAGTACATCCCCCTTTTTTATATATATACAGGGAGAAGGAAGAAAGGAGAGTGATTCTATCCGGCTCTGCTGATTTAGTGGAGCAAAGAGGTGGAATTCATTAGTAAAAGATTGTTTACAGCACAACTTTAGTCACATAGGTGATCCTGTTTTTTATACTCTCCCTTTTTATAAGAGGTTGCTTATTAAAATAAAAATGAAGCAATAGAGGCCTTTTGTTTTTTCCCTCCCTTATGGTCTAATTGCATGATTTTTTTTTTTTTGGTGATGTAACTCCTGGAAACGCCCGATGTGGTTCATAAAGTTTTTTTGCTTGCAAAACAATTTTTGCTTTATTAATTTTGAATTTGAGGTGCTGGAGGACGGAGCCTCAAAAGCAATATTTAGAGAGGGCGAAAAGGAAATCTAAGGCTTATAGTTAGAGGATAGATGGAAGAAAGGGAAAGCCTGCTGTGGGAGCAGTTTGAGGCTTCTATACACACAATAAGGGCCTTAAAAAGAGCGATAATGTAACAAATGTCTGTCTTCAGGCCTCTCTTTGCCTTCTGATTGGTGTAAAGGGGCTTTAGCATAAATGAGATTAAGGCCCTGGTGCCCTGCCTAGCAAATCCTTATTTGCCTGCTTAGCTTTGCTCACATGAGGAGTCAATGGAATGATTCATGTAAGTTAAACTAAGCTATGTGTAAAGTTCTGCAGGATGGGGGCCTGCATAAAGCAGCAGAGAATATACAGCTACAATCGGTGCTGGTCAGTTCTTGTAAAATCCTAACAGGAATCACAGTCATTGAAAAAAAAATCTGTCGTGGAAAAAAAGTTTAAAATGTCAGAGACTTTAAATTCTGATGCCCTTGTCAGTATCCGTCATACAGTCCTGGATCTTCTTGATCTTGCTTAGGTGAGGATTAGCAATTTCCATATGTAGGGTTTTTTTTAATAATCAAGTAACATCTTCAGTAGCAAATCTCTTCTCACCCTAAATAAGATTTAAAGGGACCTATTTGTCCTTAAGTATCTAGATTTTGCAAAACAATTGCATGCCATTGCAAAAAAAGTAAGTCTGATAGAAAAACCTTTTATTAAAAAAAAAAAGAAATTCCAATGGAAAATGCTGGTTTTAAACAATTTTTCCTAACTGTGTTTGCAACCAAATATCACAGCAGAGAGTCTGGAAGTGAAATTGACTGACAAATACAAGCGAACCCGATTTAATTGATTTTTTTTTTTCATTGTCCAAGAGAGAAATGTCAAAAGTAAACACATAGCTTTAATACTGAAAAGTATGTAGGATGTAAAAAAATATTTTGGCTGTACTAAATACTCAAAGGCCTTTTCTGTGTGCAGAAGTTTTATCAGTTTAAGCTAAAGTGTGATTTTTAGACAGCTGGAAGAATGAGTGAAGACAGTCATCTTTTGGTTCAGCTTACATTAATTAGGAACAGATTTCGGCCTGCCCCAAATAAGCCATTTCCAGATGACAAGAAGCATCTACACAATGTTTGCACTGGTTTAATTAAAGTGCTGCAAGGTTGTGTGTAGACAACTTCTTATATACTTATCCCTTTAAAGAGAGTCTTTAATGAAGTGCTTCTGATTAGGGAATAAAATAAATAAATAAAAAGCAGCACTGATCTTGATAGAAAAATTAAAACCACATGGAAGTTTATCCCCAAATGTTTATCTGCGAATAAAAGCCAGTGTATTAATAGAAATAGTGTGAAGGAACCCCACCCTGGTGCTATCCTGAGCTGTGGCTGCCTTTGAAGCGCACTTAAGAAGCATCATGAAAACAAGTGGTTCACCAAACAAGACTCAGATAGCAGGAGCATCACCTGGCTGCTTCCCCAGCAGGTGGAGGGGCTGAACTGCTTTTCTCTCTGCTTAGAAGGACCTTTGGAATTTCCTGCCACCTCTCGTTTTTCTGCTAGACACTGGGGGCTCGTTTTCCCAAGGAAGGTGCTGGGGTGTGCCCCAATAGTCTGCTGGTGCACCCAGAACATACGCTTGCTTCTTGGCAGAGGCGTGGGTAGCTTCCATCAGGGGCATGTGCCTTTTCGGCCTCTTGTCCATTGTCCGAGGTGAGGGTGTCCGGGAAGGTGCATGTCCTTGGGGAACTGTCTGGCTTTGTTACAGAGTACAACTTCTCAACTCCTTTAGTTTCAGGTCTGTAAGGTGTCATTTAGGTCTAGAAGCAAACCGAGAAAGTATCTAAGCTTGTGCTGCAAGTCTTGCTGTAGTGGGGGTGATTTGGATGCACAGGGCTGGTGCTGTCCTTCTTGCATCCCTAGAAGGCTGTCTGTCTGGAGTGAGAGTTGGGAGATTTGGGTTCTTTTCCCAGCTCTGACGTAGAGTCCCTGTGTGACCTCAGGCAAGTCCTATTCTCTCCCTGTTGTCCCTGTTTTACTATGGAAAATTCCCTGCCAGCACACAGTGAGTTAAAGTGGTGGGAAGTTCTGTTACATGGGAGCACGTGTGTGTCTGTGTGTACATGGTCATTTCATGCCAGAAACCTGAGGACATCACAGAGCTCTAGGGCACTCATTCACTTTTTCAATGAAATAACTCCTGGCTTTTAAAACTAGCAGAAGCAATTAGCCCGCTCTGGGGACCAATAGCCGGCAACATGTCACATTAAAAAATGGATCTGGTTGTGGGGATCTCTAAGGCTTTATATCAGGTTAGAATATTTCTACTGTAAGTGATGTCTGCTGACATTCAACATTGTGGGTGTTCTGAGAAAGCCCAAACTGATAGTAATTGTTCAGTGTCATGTTCCCGGGACTGCCTGTCTCTGTCGTATTAACAGTACTAATATATAATGTAGCATATCTGTGCACCTACATATATAGTGTGTGCACGGGTGTGCATGATTTACTTGTGTGTGTCTATATGAAATGGACCTACAGTCCATTAACAGCACAAATAGAGTGGAATGCTGCTTAGCCACTGTTCAGATCAGCTGGGTTCATCGAATGCAGTGGTCACTCCCTGAGGATTTTGAGAGGCAGGATGCCCGTGAAATATTAGTGAGGGCCTCTGGTTCAAACCTTTTGCAAGTCAGTAGGGGATAAGAGCTGCTGCATGTCCCCTCGTGTTCGTTGTCTGTTCTAGCAGTCTGGGACCACATTACTATTGGACCTGTTTTTGTTGGCAGTCTTAGCAGGGATGCCAAGGAGAAAAGATGGTGCAGTGCTGTGGCCACAAGACTGAAACTAAGGAGTGCTATTCCCAGTTTTTCCACAGCCCACCCGAGTGACCTAAAACAACTCACTTAATCTCCCTGTGTCCCAATTTCCCCATCTCTAAAATGGAGGTGATGGTGCTAGACTGCCTTTCCAGGGTGGGGCTAGAACATGGACAGAAACCAGGTGCTGGGATGGTGCAGGAAGGCAGTGTGAGCTTCTTGGTAGAAGGATGCCGTGGACTTGGGGCCAGAACCTCTTGTGCTGTGCCAGCAGTGCTCCTGCATGGGCAGTGCTGCACTAGGGAGCAGGCATGGCAGGAAACCGTGGAGTCAGCCTTTCTGGCTGCCAGCCCATACACCTTTCACGGGAAACAAAGCCACTTTCATCCCTCCATTGAGAAACAGGAGTCTCCCTTCACAGCTCAGGGTGTGATGAGATTGGTCGCACTTGTCTTATAAAAGCAGTTAACCCCCAGCAGCTTCAAAGCAGTGAGATGATGCAAACTCACTGCCAGCACCCCTGGAGGGCCCAAGAACTTCATGCATCGTAGCCTCAAGCCTAGGCACACGCATCCTGTTCAGCAGGGGGTCCAAAGTGGACGTCACTGCTCTCACGCGTGCAGAGAATTGGAGCTTTCTGACTGCCCTCTGCACAGCCTCCAGCCCTCCGGGGCACACGAGAAATTGAGCAACGTGACATGCAGGGTAGCTCCCGGTCAGGTGACTGTATTTTTGCTGCCTTAGCTGCTGTTATAAATTCCTCACTCCCGGCCTCTCACTTCTGATATTTTACTTTATCCAAATAAGAGACAGTTTTGTTACCTCCGGCTCCCTGCAGACGCGGCAGCTTCAGGCTGTGAAATATGCTCCAGCCCAGAGAGGGGGGATAGGGGACCTGCTGCTGGGAATCCGAGGTGGAGAAAGGTTCCAGGAACAGGATGGAGTCTTTTGCTTTAGTTTCAGGGCTAGCTGCGTCCCTGAGCATGTGTGAGAACAACAATCCGGCTAGCAATGTGCTGGGAGAATAGATGAAGGAGCTTGGAAGTGCTGTGGGATTCACAGAGTGCAGTGAAAAACTGGTGTGTGGAGGCTGGCTGAGATACCCAGTCTCTAAGAGAAGCCAGGTCTGGGCAGCTTCTAAATGAAAAGATGCGTCTTGTAATAACCTGGCAGGAAGAAAGCAGCAGCCATCCCAGGGTTTGTGGCTCTTTGGGTTAGGAGAGGCCTCCAGCTGATGGGTACTGTTGGGGGTTCCCCTGACTGGAGAGCTCAGTAACCCAGCATGGGGCATGGATGTTTACAATGGACATGGATGGTTATAAAGGTGGGACAGTGTGGCTTAGGATCCCACAGAGTAGTATGGGCAAGTATTGCCTGTCAGGGCCCAGCAGACCTTGTATGTGGCAAGTAAATGTGTTTTTTATAGCTTGGTGCTTCAGAACAGTGCTTTGACTGGAATATGTGCGTTGAGGGCTGATGCCACTTGAGTTGCTGGCATGTCACGCTGCCTGCAGGTTGTGTCTAGTCCCAGCTTCCAGATAAGAAGGGCCTGTCCTCTGGGAACAGTGCTGGGATGCACCAGTGGATTAGGGGTTATCCACCTGGGCATTGGGGCCAGGACTGTCCAGCCATCTCAGTGAAATGGGACATCTGCACTAGAGCACTAGACCGGGACTCATGCTTCCAAACTCTAGGTGTATTAGGGGCCCAATGGCCAGCTCTTTGACAGAGGTCTAAAGAGCACTCAACTTGCTTTTGTAGCTCCCATAATTTAAAGCACTTAGAAACCGGATATCAGAGAGAGACAACTTTAATGTCCCAGCAAATGGGGCCCTGGGTGTGAAGTGAGATGATCCTTCATGCCTAACATTCCTGCCACTCCTGGAGCTCGGAAAGCAGAGGGCCCCAGCCCTGCCATCACCTGGCATAGTCTGGTTACTGTGCGGCAGGGCAGGCCCTAGACCCACATGGTATATGGGTGATGCTCAGGAGGTTCTCTCTGGTGTGTCCCAGAGAGATCAATGCAGGGACTCTCCCACCCCATGCACACCCTTGAAACAGCCGCCAGAATATCTGTTGCTAGAAATAGAAGTGGGGAGGCAGGGACTGCCCCCATCAGCAGCCCCGTGGGGGAGGGAGGGAAACCCGGCCAGAGAGCGACTGAGCAAGCGAGCACGCTGCTGGGAGCCAAGGCCAGTCCTGCTGATGTGGCCCTTTCTCCTGCAGCGAATCATAAAATATGGCTCAAATTTTCATTACGGGCTCTATTGATTATCTTTTGGGACAGATGAATTATAGGGAACATTAAATTAAAAAAAAAAAAGGGAAATATTTGAATGAGTTTGGGAGGTCGATGCCAGAAAGGCTGACGCACCAAGCCTTACCGGCACTTGCCTTCTTCCCAGGCCCTGCCAGGCCTAACGCTGAGTCCTGGCTCTTTCCCCCCAGGGAAGGATGAGCCCTGCCTGGAGCTCTGCCAGCCTCCATAGGGTGCTCTTGGGGAGCGGTGGGAAGTGGCTCCCAATCCCACTAGGGTCAGGGTGAGGGTACATCAGGGTAGGCTGTGCGGGGTCCAAGCATCCAGCTGCTGCTGCTGGCTCTGCTGCTATGGGGTCCCAAGAGTCTCTGGCTGTGTCGTAGTCTCCTCATCTTCAAAGATGACTGGTCTTATGGTGAATGGGGCTGGATTATTGAATGTCTGCAATGTGCCTTGCAATTCTTGAAGAGAATGACAAAGGTGTTGTTGGGTGTGGGGTGGGAGTGGCTCTTCACTTTGGTTTTAGGGCCAAATTCTGCTGTGGTAGTCAGTGCCATTTCCATGTTTGATGCCAAGTTTGGATGTGGCTCCAGCTGACTAGCAGCAGGGAGCTACCTCAGTGGCCTGACAGGGAGGGAGACTGAGGAAAGGAGCCCCTGTACCCCTCACTTGAGCCCCATTCTGTCCTACACATCCCCCTCTGCGCAAAGAGTGTGGGTTGCCGCCAAACTCTTTCTGCCCTCCGTGTCCAGGATGGGTGACAGGCAAGTCTGTCTTTCCTGTTGCTGGTTGAGGCTGAGCTGGGTTATGAAGGCTTTGTCCAAGGTAGCAGGTTGCAAATACCCCACAGAAAATGCCTCCCAGGTCCTGAAAACTGCCCCTCCTTCCCCAAGAGTGAATTGCTCCTCCCTTTGTAATCCCCACACCGAGCCTTGCACTCCTAGCCTAGCCTGACTGCCGGTTGTTTGCTAACACTGGTGTAATCCCTGGATAAGGGTTAGTGATGCCAGCATCTGGGTTTGGGAACAGGGTGAGTTACTCATGAGGTACACGAGTGAGTTGAGAGATGAGGGTTGCTTTGTTTTAAGCCAGCAGGGCTCTGCACTTGGGGCCCATTTCATGCCAGGTATCAAATGATGGTTCCCAAAGACGGCTCCTATTGGCATTTGTGTCGGTGGCTGCACAGTGGTCTTGTGGTGTTAAATTCAAGTGGGACACTATATGAGGAGGCTGAAGCAGAACAGCCCTAGCATTAGGACTCAGTGCCTGTTCAGGGTTCATTGAATTGTGGAGGTGAGACCACCTGCTGTGGCATGTGACAGAGGGAGACGGTGTGGTGATGTGAGCTCCTCCCCCCGAAGCTGCTCCAAGGGGGGCATCTTGCCTCTTGCCCCCAGAAGGACCCAGCACCTTCTGTGCCCCCGCGGCTGAGATCTCACCATGGGCTGGGCAGGACCCTCCCTGACTTCAGGGGACAGTCCCAAGGGTAGTAGTCCGTTGCTGGCTCCTCTGGCTGAACGTCTGCTGGGGGAGTACCAGGAGGAGCGTTGCGGGACCCCTCACGAAGCCCCTGCACCACCTCGGTCTAGTGGCCTAGCTCTCGGCTTGGGCCTGAATCTACCCCGTGCGCACAAAAACCCAGTGACTTTTGCCATGGTCAGCAAGTCTCTGCAGCTGGAAGCGGGGGACAATGGTCACTGCATCTTTGAGAGCACCTCAGGTTGCTGCAGCAGAGGCCTGGAGCTCCTCTCTGCATTTGCTTTTGTCCTCTTTGGTCACTCCTTTTCTGGTTCAGATGGCAGGCCAGTTACTCGCTGTCTAGCATTTGCCCATGTGTCATGACAGTTCATTGTGTTTGTGTGTGTCTGTGTATTCATCCATGTGCATGTGTGAAATGGCGTTTGTTTAGTTACATGGCCCGATGTCATCACACATTATGTATCTTTGTATGTGTATGTGTGCCCATGTTCATATAGGGCTGGATATCTTTCTGCCTGTGCATGTGTCTGCAGTGCTTGTGTGTGTGCGTTTAAAAAAAAAAATTAGTTTTGTGCACTAAGCACTTTTATGACTGATGTGGGGCCCTGTAATACAGAGGTGTGTGCATGTGTGATGCAGCGTGCTCTCACCTGGGCATGCTTGTGTGCCTCTTGTGAATGAAATGGTATGTCCAGTCTGCAAGGTGTTGAGCATTTGTGGTGGCGAGCTGCACACTTGGGCACTAGTGTCCATGTGCATGCTCTCGGGGTACTCCACGCACACCTGTGCGTATATGTGCATGTGTGCTCCTCGGCCTTGGTGTTTCACTTCCCAGCAGATCTCTGTGGATTTCACAAGCCATCCATAAAGCTTTGGTTTCACCTGGGTAAATGCAAAAAGGTGGTGGTTTCCATGGCTCCCCAGCTTCACTATGGTGACACGCCCTTTTTGTGTAAGCTGGTTCCCTGGAGTCGATTGTTTTTTTGGCAAACAGCTTTGTAAACTCCTCCAACAATTAAACTGAAAAGGGAAGAAAAAAAAAAAAAGGAACCCGCAGTGCAGAGTAAGACAACAAACAGGTCAGAGCAACTCACCCAGCCAGCCCGATCCCCGCCGCCTCCTGCAGCCCACCTCAGATCCCTGATGCCAGGCAGACAGAAAGTCCCTTGCCCTTGTTCTCTCTGGACTTGGTCCTGGGAAGGGCTTGGGCTGATCCAACCTGCCAAAGTGCAATGAACTAACAAACACAAAGGAAAAGGTCACGTTATTCTTTTTTTCTTTTTTTTTTAGCACTCCAACGTCTCTGAGGGAGGGGAGCCAGCACAGATGCCAGCTCTGATTAATTTAAATATTTACCAATCCCATGTTTTGTTTTGTTTTTTAATTGTATATGTGTTTGCTCTGTTTGTGTCCCATAAAATACCTGGTGTTTTGGGCGTACCCCGTTTGCAGGGCGCGTGAGATCACACTGAAAAAATGCAGTGAAAAACATTTTCATGCCACGACACATCAAATAGGATTTTGTCTTAAGATGAGGCTTTTTCTTCTCTTTTTTTTAATCTCTGAAGTTTGGGTAAAAGGGCTTTCTTTTCTTAACTTTGATGTTTTATTTTCACTTTTAAAAAAATAAATAGTTCTTTCAGTACACTTACGAGCAGCCTTTGCCCCATTGCCCTTTGCCAAAGGAACGTCAAGAATATACAGGCAAAGCCGTCAGAGGGGCAAAATCCATGGCAGTTTGAGATCAGGCTGGGACAGTATAGTCCAGTGGGCAGGGCATTAAACTGGGATTCAGGAAGATTGGGTTCATACCCTGGGGCTGCCAGTGAGCAGCAGTGTGGCCTTGGGCGAATCCCTTCATCTCTCTGTGCCTCTCTCCATCCTCCTGCCCTTTGTCTATCTATTAGATCGCAAACTTTCTAGAGCAAGGTCTGTCCTTCACTATGCACATGTACAGGACCTAGGTCTCGGGGACCTCATGTTGGCAGAGGCCTTTAAGCACTAGCATAAAACTGATAACAACTGGTGCCAAAGCTCACAGTGCCATTCAGGGGAGGGTACCTGATTGTTCAGGATTTATAATACCAACTCAGTGCAGGAGCTAGAGTTTGCTTGCCACAGCAGCAAGCCATGGTGTGCACACCTGGATAGGCAGAGGTCCCCATGGCACGCTTTCCTCCTGGACACAGCATTTGCTCTATGCCTTGACCTAAAGCTTAGATCTCCAGGGTGTGGGTTTTGGATCTTTGGGTGATGGAAGAAATACTGTCTGTTCCCCGCCCCCACCCCCCAACTCCTGTTTTAATTATTTTCCAACCCCATTAGCCTAGACCCTGGGTGAGTGCAGAGCAACTCTGTTGACACGGGGAAGCTGGCAAAGCAGGGACCTGTATACAGCCTCCTCCCTCCCACTTAGTTGGTTGGCAAGCCAAAAAGTGTTTGGTTTGGAGAGCAAGAGCTTTGGCACAGGGACTTTTCTTTTTAATGCGTCTAAGTAGCAGCCTCCAGCACTGGCAGCTTCACGTTTCGTGAGCTTGTCCTGCCCATTGCCCCAGTTTGAGTAGCGGGTCCAGAAGCATGAACTGGGGAAAAGACTTTACATGGTGGCAGTCGAGGAAAGAAAGGCAAGGGAGTTGGTAATGCTTTTGTTATGGCTGGGACTCCGCTGGTCACCAGCTCTGGAGTTCCACAGGCACAGTCGCCCTGCCAAATTCCCCCGGGCTGTGAGCTGGCGTGGGGAAGGGCAGTAAGGGGGCACGCATCAACAGAATGGGAAGCCTCCACACCTGCCACACAAGAACTTTGCCTGAGAGGGCTTGGGGTGGGTATGCAGGAGGAGAGCAGTTGTCCAGGCCTGGGCCATTGGCCAAACTCTGAAATTGGACCTGATACTTTTGAGGAATGCAGGAATGGTGGAAGTGAGATTGTGTGGGGCCCTTGCTTCTGTGTCATAAGCAAATGCCAAAGCGTGGGATGGCAGGGAACATATCAAGAATTACCCAACAGCGTCAGCTCTGCCATTGTGCTCTTGGATCACTTATTACTTTCCTATTTCTTTTTGTTGCTGTAATTGTTACAAAATCTCCTGGCTTTGGGAGGGGTCCAGGACTCCAGGGCCCCATTGCATCTGCCCTGATTCAGAAAGTGGGTCATGCTGCTTCGTTTGGGAAGGAGATACTCATCTCGTGATATTTATTAGGAGATAGGGAAGGGAATGCAGCCGTGCTGTTGCATAGAAAATAGCTTTGGGGGGGGTAATGCAGGACTTGTGAAGGCAGAACATGACGTTCAGCACTGGCTCCCCTGCGCTATTTTTGCAGCCCCCCAATGCTCCTCTGAGGCCTCCCTTTCAAGGACAGTAGTCCTGGCTCTGCTTAGCTTCAGAGACGCATTCCTTTTTTAAAGTATGTTTTACTTGTGATGTGAAAGGGGACACGGTCACGTGGGCCTCAGGTGACAGCTCTTCCTGCCATCTTGCATGTATCTGGCAGCTGGGTGCTAATGCTGAGAGAGGCTCCAGTACCCAGGAAATTTTAAGGCTTTTGAGCCTGAGCCTTCCCCACACCTGCGCCGGGGGATATGTTGGGACAGTGTTCCCCTTTTCTTGATCCTTGTACCTTCCCTTGAAGGCAGATAGTTGTTCCCTCCCACAACCAGGGAACGCAGCAAAGGCCTTGGTGTAGAAAAGAGTTGCCTGGCCTCTCTTGGGGGTTCCCTGGGGGTCTCATTTGCAGGACTGACTGTGCCCTTTACAGGGAGGATCCCCCTCCTCTCCACTCACTCCCAGTAGATATTCTCTTTGTCACAGCCACCAGAGCTGCCTCATGGAGGGTCCAAATGGGTAACCCCTACCTACTGCTGGTCTGCAACAAGCCAAAGGACTTGCTGTTGTTCCAGGAGAGGTAGTGATTCCCTATGTATCCTCCCAAATACCGCCCCCCCTTTACACACACATACCTTTGCCCTCTTCTTGCTCATACTTTGAGTTCTGGCTGGGCTTAGTCACTGCCTTTTCCCATCCTAAGAGGGCCCAGTAATAACAACAAATCCTAGAGGTACTTTATTCCCCTCCCTCTCTTTCTAAGAAGCTAATCAACGTGGCATCTAGGCAGCAAGGATCCCACAGCATGCTGGTGAAGAGAGCTTCCTGCATCCATACAGAAGTGCAGGCACTGCTGAGGCGGGACTAGGAGGCTTTTTAATAACACTCCTGGACAATGGCTTGGAACAGAAAGTAAAGAAGGGATAAATTATCCCACTGAAACTGGAGGGTGGTAGGATATAATTACCTGAACTGGAATCAGGCCAGGATACCAGAGTTCATACCTGGTCCACTGTCAGCAGCAGCCTGGGCTCTGCAATGAGCAGGACAAGGTGGGTGCCTCTGGGAGACATGACCACTCCCTTCAGGCAGTGGCAGGAGAAGCAGTTCCCCACGGGATGTTCGGCAAAATGGCTTTGACGTCACACTTTGTTGTTTTCCAAGATCCTTTCGTGCACGTACAGGGATGCCTAGGAAGCTCGGTGGGACGCTGCAGCCTGCTAGGGAACAGCCCTTGTCGTGGTCCTTGTCTGAGTACTCCTGTGTGTTTCCATTTAAAAACAAAAAACCCTAAAAAACCCATTAAAAAAAAGAACAAAGGAAATTGACTTCCCAAAAATTACACTAAACTAACACTTGGGGCCTGGCACCAATCCATGGTCTCCAGGAAACTCTCAGTTAACCACCAATCTCCCAGGGCTGCAGGGAGGGGACAGTGCAGCAGCACAGTCCTACAGCAGGGCCAACGCAGGGGGTTTGGAGATACCTGGACAGGGTCCCTCCTGGCTGGACAAGTTACCTTTGGCACAGAGCAAAGGGCATTTTCATGCCATCGTGGGTAGCTCCAGGCATGCTGAGATGGGGCATTCCTGCCAGGTTGGGTCTGGTGCTTTGTGTGTGGTGGAGAGAGTGAGCACCCACCTCCTTGTGCTTACAGCTAATAAATAATCTCAGGGCTCGGCCAAGGGACACTGTATCAGCGAGTGCTTTGCCTTCCAGGCTGCACATGCTGGAGGTAAGAGACCCATGATAAAGTGGGCCAGGCCTGTGTATGTGCAGTCTTCATTTTAGTTGGGTTTTTTTTCCCCCTTTTGGAGACCCAAGTTCAAATCCTACCTCTGCTCAGAGGGGCTGGTGAGGTCTGGGCTCTTCCTGGTTCCCACTTGCACATGCCCCAGCGCCACGTAGCTCAAGGCGACCGGCAGCTTCCGATCTGGTTTAGTGCCAGTTCGAAGAGAGAGGGGTGCAGAGCGACGGGGAAGCCAGCGCTGGCATGGGGTGCATAGGCAGAAGCTCCCAGCAGTTGAGCGGGCTGCCGGTCTGTGGTGAGCACGGCTCGATGCAGGAAGCCCTGAAACACCTGCCAGCACTGTGCTCAGCTCTGTCCGGTGCTATCAGCACCGTTCTTTTGTGAGGACTAATTTCACTCATCAGCTTTCATAAAAGAAAACAAACAGGCTCCTGTACCTATTGCAGCAAGCAGCCAGGCCTGACATAAAGGGAGCAGGCACAGGTCTGGCCCCCTTTCTGAAATCCCAGCCTCGGGAGGATGCGAGCCGGATGCAACCCCTTGCTTTAACGGGGTGTTTGCGGGTGACTTCTTATGGTGGTGGGTTTTTGCTGAGCAAGGGAACAATGTCACTGATTTCAGGGGGTGGCAGAAGCTGGTATGTGTTCGGGCTGAAAATATTTACAGGTTTTGAAGTTGAAACGCAAACAGGAAAAGCCCTTTAAAAAGTGAGTGTAGTGGATATTCAAAACAGGGATTGCCATGGAAACGCCACAATATTTGCTTAAATTGACACAAAGGTTGCTGCTTGCAGGGTTTTAACTTCTTTGGCTCCATTTTTTTTGGCCCAGCACCCATCACAAATAGATCTCAACAGCCCCCTTTTGTTTTGCTTCTATTTTTTATCTGATGGAAATAGTAATAATAAAAAAGCCCATCCCATTTAGAAATCCTACCTCTCAGATCAGCTTGAAGCTTCTGAGCTTCTGTCAAATATTCCAGCCTGGACTTTTCTTTTTGGCACATGAGGTAAAAAAGTTTTGGGTTTTTTTTCTTTTTTAGTGCCCTCTAAAGGAGGAAATAGAAGGCAATTGTCTTAGGTGGCACTAGCTACAGACAGTAGGGAGGGTGACAAATGTAGCAAAGGTGGAGGAAGACATCCAAGGGGAACAGGAGAGGAAGATGATGTCTTTATACTGGACTGAAATTTGAGGGATCTGTCACAGATTTGCCATGTGATCTTGGGAAAGCTACTTTTAGTCTCTGAGCCTCAGTTTTTTCTTTTTGTAATCTGAGAATAATGTTACTTTCTTTTGTCTGTTTGGACTGGAATGGGGGGGGACTGTGGGTGTCTCTCTTACTATGTGAATGTACAACCCCCCAGCACAACAAAATCCTGGTCTCACACACTTCTGTAAATGCAAATAATAAATGACCCATAACACTAGGAAATGGAGCCGCCAAGAAATGTGGACAGCAAAGGCAAGTTGTAGTGGGAGCACTTCTCAATAAATGGCTTGGTAGTGTTGTCCGTGCCTTGGCCCTTGGATGGCACTCGCTTCTTTCTTGGAGCGGGATGGTCATGTGCTCCAGGGAGGTCTGTGGTTTAGCGTCCAACTGAGGATTGTGTAAAGGGCCTCTGGAGTGGTTGTCTCATGAGATGGTTGGATGACTGAGAGGAGGGTTTAGTTGCTCCCTCAGCTGGGCCCTCGTGGCTAAGGGACTGCTGAGCTCTGCAGGTGGCTGTGGCATTCCAGGCCAGCATCAGTAATGGCATGCGATTCACCATGGCTCTTGCGTGGCTCAGTCAATAATATCCCATTCGTTTCCTTTCATCCTTCTCTTCAGGGCCAAGAGACTTTGCCAAGCGAAGGGGATCCATCAAACTCTTGCAGTGTCCATCAAGGACTTCTGGAAAACAGGTCCTGATTCCCCTCTTCGCTGTGCACTGTGGAATGGACTTTGAACCCACTGACTTCTTGATACAAGGTACTGACTTCCCTTCTGTAATTGGTCCTTCTTCATTTGGGCAAGGGCCAGAGTCTGGTTTCTAAGTGATTTCGAGCGGCTGGAGACTTCCACTGAGTCCCTAGGGGATGCACTTCTGCCGCACTAAGTTCATATTTAAGATCAGCTGTTGGAAGCCCCCATGTGGGTCACAGCTTCAGCATAGTGTTGGTTTGCCCAGGGTTGGTTTCCATACAGCACTTGTTGGATGGGTATGAATTTAATTTTTAATGCTTCTGGCTAAGCCATCAGTGCCACAGCTAGTAAGATGGGGAGACTTCGAGGAAGGGACTTCGGAAGAAGAAAATGGGGCTGGCCATGGCTTCTGATACTGTAGTTTGTACACCTGGATTAAATCCATGGCTGATGATTTTCACATGAGACACTCTGAAGTCTTCTTCCTCTGAAGTTCCTCATCTACAGTGTTGTGTTTTTCTAGGGAACATGTCAAGCTGGGATGGAAACAGGTTCCTATGTCTGACCAATTGGGATATGCGGGAATCAGGCCTGTAAGAGTCTCTACAGCTTCTCAGTGTCTGTGTGTGAGGAGTTTGGGGGTCTGTAACACTAACACAAAGGTTGGGGAGTGGCATGTACTACGAGGGTGGGACTCTGCTGTTCTGAAACACATTTGAATGTCTTTCCTTCTGGCTTCCTTCCCAGCTGCTCTGCTAAGACAGGGTTGGTACAGTGTGACTAAAAGAATAACTACAATCTAGACCTACAGTGGGGTAATAAACCTCTCTTGCGTGGCAGACCTGGCTTGGGTGGGTTGGAAGGTGCTGCCACATGAGGTGTGCTGCTGGTAGGAGATCCTGAGGACATAGGTAGTGCCTGAGTACTGGTTATGTGGTACTGGTTATGCATGGGGTCCATGTTACCACCCAGATGGCAGCAATAGTAAGGGAGAGTGGAAACACACAGCCAAACAAAGTTCATCCCTAGGAGGAGCTCAGTGAGTTCATGTATCATCATTCTGGAGACTTGGGGACTTGTTTCTTTTACTCACTGAGTGAGATATCACTGTGCCACAGTATCTGAGGCCACTGGGAGCCAAGATGCAGCAGACAGAGGTGTGCGTGTGCAGCATCAGGACTGGGAATTTCAGGTTGGAACGGCAAAGGAAGGGCAAGGCAGGTCCTGAGACCTAAGACTTTAGTAAGAACCCTTCTCCTGGGGGAGCAAAACGCCAACTGGGTGCTCAGATGTCCTGGTGACCAGCACCTTGGATAGACTTGTCTGTTTAAGGGTGCTGCAGGCCAGGACGATGGGCTGTGGTGCACTGAGCTTGGTCGGTACCTCCTGACACCATTCCACGGCTACGGTCCCTCCAGTCTGGCACGTTTGGTTCTGAGACGTTCATTTTGCATTACGTAGCCAATGGGCTTTACCTCTGGGGAGAAGGTCTCAGCAGATGGAGTTCTCTGGCACCTGCGTGTCTTATTTGAACCATGGAGGGCCTTCTCCTCCTTGGGCTTCAGAGGCTGCAGATCTTGCTAGTCTGGACTCCTGCCTGTGGGTGAGGAGCTGTACAACTGAAGGAGAAGAGAGAGGGCATGGGACATTGGGACATAAAGGGAGCCCTGTGGGCTTATCAAATCAGATGCAAATTCTGGGATTTGGTTGTGGCTGCTGGATCTTCAGGAGCTATTTTGTAAGGGCCTGATCCAAAGCTGGAGTCTCTCTCCCTTGACTCCAGTGCTTTTGCACTAGTCCCCAAGGGTGCTCACCCCACCTCAGGGCAGTTGTTTCCAGTTTCTGGCAGGGGGGCCCCAGTGTGCTGGAGAGGGGCAGCAGCAGTGTGGGGTTTGGACCCCCAGTTTATACTGGAAAAGTAATAGAAACGCCAGTTCCTTCTGTCTGCCCCGGCCCCAAATGAAATCTAAATTTGGGGCTTAATAGAAGATGACTAGCTTCACTGTACCACCACTGAATGGCTTCCTCTCCCAATAAGTCAAAATGGGAGCCCGGCTGGCCCCACCACAACCCATCTTGACAGTTCTGCAAAGGATCTGCCCCAATATCCTAAGAAGAGCTGGGGAATGTAAAACAGCCTTGCAAAATCATTGTGGAAATTTCCCAGCCTGGGTATGAAATCAGCTGGCCTTCCTTTGCCAGGAGGAGGCTGGGAAACTGAAGCACAGTTGGCTTGCCCATAGAAATATATGTATGCATTACTTGCTCTTGGTGAGTAAAATTTTCCCAGGCTCTTACAAAATCTAGTCTAGATTCTAGCATGCTCTATTTTACCTAGCAAGGCTGGAACATACAGTATCTACCTGGTACACATCATAAACTTCCTGCTTAGGATATACAGTGTCTAGTATGATGTCCCCACTAACCAGTAACCTGCTACAGCATACATAAATCAAGCTATGATATGCATTCTTTACTGGTAACACGCTAAAACATACATAATTAGGCTGTGCCATGCCTAGTAATGGTGGAGATAGGAGTGGGAGATGTGCAATCTCTGTTGAATTTCACTGGACATGAGCTTTTGAGAGGCATAGGATAGAAAAAAAAACAGGGGTGGGAATGGGCTAGGTCTGTTAGACAGATGCAGTTGACATGGATGGCTGTATCAGGGCCGCTGGTTGCAGGGGTTGCAGTGCCAGCTGAGAGGCAACTGTTTTTCCAGCAGCAAGTTTTGATTTTGTCCAGTTCACCACTGAAATGGTCTGACAGTCCTAAAAGATCTTATTTATTAGGGATAAGAGAAGCTCCTTCTGCCTTTTGGGTTGGCATGAGATGCTGAACCTCCTGAAAGCTGTAGTGACTCCATCTTGGGGAGATGCTGACCTGTGATGGGGAATGGAGAGGCTAGGGTTGGAGAGCCCTTACAGATCATCATTTCCATCCTGGTGCACCCTGGCATGGTTTGTTTGTGAGCCATCCCTCAGTGTGCTGGTAAGGACAAGGTGCCAGGCCTGCCTACCACATTGGGTCTGTGACTAGTTTGCTTCCCCTGTGTTGTTTCAGGCAAGCCCTGGTGGAACCAGGCAGACAGAGTTCTTTGGGTAAATCTGATATCTTTTATTAGACCAACTAAAATAGTTGGAAAAAAGTCTTCTTTGCAAGCTTTTCGGTACAAACACCCTTCTTCAGGTAGAAGTAGTATTTGCCTGATGAAGGGTGTTTGTACCCGAAAGCTTGCAAAGAAGAATTTTTCCAACTATTTTAGTTGGTCTACTAAAAGATATCAGATTTACCTAAAGAACCTTGTCCTCCTGCATCCTTAAACCAACATGGCTACAACCAACATCCCTGGTAGGACCAGAGCATTTGTTCCTGGCTGGGCCGTTCTGGATGACTTTGAGCTCCAGGCCTTTCAGACAAAGCAGGGCAGATGTTACCTTGGTTGGCGCTCTCACCTGTGTTGCTGTGGCCTGACCTGGCTGGAGCCAGCCCTTTGCTCTGGTGTGGCTGAGCAAAGGAGAGGGAGCATGTTAAAAGCCTGTCTGGGATAAGAGCAGGGTTGTCACATCCATCTGCTCAGGCCCTGACGAGCAGCCATTCCATATTGTTAACATATTGCCTGCCATATGGACTGGCTTAGCTCTCCAGGAACGCTTGGGAGACCTGACCTCTAGTGTGACAAGATGTGAGCATGAAGGACGGGGTTGACAACAGCCCTTGGGTCTCGGAGTGTGAAACCATGTTCCAGCCACTTCCGCTGCCTTTCGCTGTGCTCGCTCGCACTCTCTCTCAGGGTTTTTTGCTCCCTCCCCTGTTTTCCGCATCCCTGGTCTGCACTAGATCAATGACCTTCACTCGTAACCAGACCGGACAGTTCTAACTCCCTCCCCCGGGCCTTCGATCAGATGTTTGGTTGGCGGCTGTGGAAAGCTGAATGGGGGGGAAGTCAAAGGAGAGGAAAAGAAATCATGTGTTCAGCAGGCTTCATAGCTACCCATGCCTCATCTGGTCTCTGGGCATGGGTGGGCCTGATCCTGAGAGGTCCTGAGCACCTGCCACTCCCACTGATAATGGGAAAGGGAGGAGCTTGGGATCTATTGATCACATCCTTACCAGGGGCCTGCACAGAGTCCAGATGCCAGTGTGAGGAGAGGGAGCATCTATAGTTTCCCCTCCCCCTGAGTGGCACAGAGCAATTGTGAAATGAATCTTTAGAGAAGCCCATGCCAAATCCCTTCAACCTCTCCCGCTATGCCAAAGAGCCTATTGGCATCACCTCCAGCCAGCCACGCAGAGAGTGGGAGATCAGACTGATGACTCAGGGCAGCAAAGGGGTGGCGGGGGAAGAGGTTTTACTGCATGGTAGGGCCAGAGCCTTGCAGGCAGTAATCTGGTGGCATAAGCAGGACTCTCTTAAAGAGTGGAGATGCTGCTCCTTGATCCTCGATTGCAGAGAGCTGTTAGCTGTGAGCAGGATCACTGTAATCTAGTGGTGTGCCAGCACATGGTCACACGCACATGTGCACACCCCATTGTGGAAGGGCAGGCAGACTCTAAAGAAGCCAGTGCTGGGCAAATTGTTGTCGTTTGCTTTGCAGTTGTCCCATTGTGGTGCCAGCCTTCCCAGCAGCTTGGGCAGATGGAGGTGGCTCAGTGTTTGAGCAGACCATTCTGGCTTGGAGAAGGGTGGATTTCCACCCTGCCACTCCTATCATCTGGAACCATTTTTCTGGCTTTTCAACAGCCTGATTCTCCTTGAGCCACTAGGAGTTGGCAGGTCTTTCCCTTTGCCAGGACTTCTGTCTTCTTGATCCCATCCAGACTTCCTGGGGGTGGAATCTGGCACCATGTAGGTTAGCGGGAATTTTGCTGGTAGCTTCAAAGTCAGGATTTTATTCCCAGGTTTCAAAGAGAAGTTTTCTCCCTCCGCCAGACCTACCCGTTTTCAATGCCACCTCCTGACTGCAGGGTTTGCTTGTGTTTTAGAGTCAGCCCAAGGGGGGATTGCCCCTTCCTTCCCTCTCTGTCCAGCACCTGGCACAGCGGGGCCTCAGACCTCGACT